TTCCTCGCGCTCTTACTCTGAAAATAACTCTGAAGACATACAAGAGTGTAACACTATAAGCTAAAGCTTAGTTTGCGTCAATTTCATGAACCTTGATTGGGTCGAAGTGCAAAAATGTTGGTGTACGAAAAGATTATCGACAAGAAAAATGAAAAAATTCGCAGAATTCCTTAAATATAAATCTTCTATTGAATTTGTCATTTCCAAGGTTCCACGAGGTTGTGATGACGCAGGGTACTTGGACGAGTTTTCAGTAGGTGCAGAGTATAGTGTGCCAGGTATTGGCGTGTATTGTAGCCGCATTTGCATTATACGTGCTCCATTTTGAATGGTATCAGCCTCTACAATGCTGCTAAACACGTCCTTTTTTGGGTGTATCTAGCGGCAGTGTTGCAGAAATCGATTTCGGAGTTTTTGCTCCGACCTAGCCTCCTTTTTGGCTCTACAATGATCTTTTAACGACCATAGATTCCTACCAACCGCCGGAATCACTTTTACCGTAAACAGCGCATCACTGTAGCCATTAAGACCAAGTTCGACTGAAGTATGTTAACCGAAATTTTGGGATCAAGAGAAGTTGTCTGAACTGCTGAGGTTCCCTGAGTCCTGACATCGGGTAGTCCCTATCCTTCAAAATGTGTGGTAAGGGAAGCACTGAGAGGGGTTGCTTACCGGGTAACCAGACCGGAAAAGATTGCCTATAATTACCTTTTTTACTCATACGCGTGATTGTATTGTAGTCATGTTTTTTTAATGGAAATCTATTTTGAGTATTTCTTATTTGCCTACTACGGTCTACTCAAGGGGGCGCCAGCTCTCGATTCTGAAAAAAGGGACTGGGTGAGTACCCACAGGAAGATACATAGTATGCCCTTGAAAGGGCAAATGTGACAGTGGCCGGGGAAAGAAACGGATACAAACAAGGAAAAGTTCAACAAAATTACACGACAATCCTGTCTCTTCTCTGTCTCAAAAAGTTGATTATGTTATGGGTCTGAATCTCGTCTGGGAGTGTGAAAATTCGCACTTGGGTCGGTTCCCATATGAATGTGTAAGGGCAAATACTCTCTGAACATCAGTACATACGCTAGTACGGTTCCATATGGAAACCGGATGCATAGCGCATCCCACGACTGGACTGGTCATAGCCGAGGCCTCTGTTCGTCTCCTTTTAGACGATTTTCTTTTGAATTTTCTTGTCTTCATCTTTCTTATAGATTCAATATCCTTTAATTTTGACATACTCTTAAGGAAAATGTGAAGGAAACATCAAAGCAAACAAACGCATCCAAATGTTCGTACATAATAAACAATAGAGACTAAGCTGACAAGCAGCTGTGATTCCTAAGGGACTGAGGGATTTCTCTTCTCATCTTGGAGAGATTAACTGAGCAACTAGCGTTTTGCTGAATTTAACGGCATAGTTCACGATAAAAATGGTTTCTGGTTCTCCCTCTAGTAGTACCCAGTGGCCCCTAAGGGTAGCAGGGAGGACGCTGTCGGGTCCAAACACTCATCAGCCAGGGCCCCGTTACCGGATTGCCCTGATGCCCCGCCTCACGACCGATGTCATGTCAGACAAATGTCGAGGCGATACAGATTGCAATATTCGCTCCAGGACCCACACATAATCAGCTAATCGCCGAGTAATGAGGCAATGTTTTTCTTCTATTCTTTTATTCTCTGTTATCTTTTTTGCTGCTGCGATACCTTATTTAATTTTCTACGTCGAGAGGCTAAAAAAATGGGCTATTTTTGCTGTTACTAGCTTTTTTACTAGTTGTTTTGTTGACTTATGATTATGAGTGAATGAGCTTCAAGGTACGTTTTTGTTTACTGCAGTGCTATTCGCACCAGGACCCACAGGACGCAACGACAAACATTGTGTACCCCGTCCAAAGACCCTCTTCATTTTTGTAGACTCCTCTCGTCCATCCCCCTTTCTAACGATTTTTTCTAAGTCTTTTATCACTTTGGAAATGCCGAATCGCGCACTTTCTCCGCCTTCATCGCACTATCTTCCATTTTTCGTCATAATCTGGGTTAAAACAAGTTATCGTGAACTGTGCCTGTAACATACTCTGAGCCAGCTCTATGTGTAAAGAAATGCTTGCCCAGTGAAGTCTTGAGCGGAGCAATGCATAATTCCTTTGGATTGCCTATTGTTTCTGAAGTTTTAAAGGAAAACAACTTGGTAGCATCGGATGAGGTTCTCTTACAGTAGTACGAGGAATGCTATTGTAACTGTTCCCAAGTGCTCCTACAAAAACTTTCCTAATGGAGTTGTTTTGTACCCGCTTGATGGCCTGAATAACTTTCTTGTTATACGGGGAACATAACCGTCCCATGTTTTAGGAAAGATCGCACGTACATTATAAGCGCTTTAAGAAGTACTGTTGGGTCCTTACTATAGAGTAAATGGAGCAGAAGAAAGAACCTGAATACGGCTTTAGAAACAATGCTAAGGCAATGTTAGAAACAATGGTATCGAAACATAGCTCAGAGGCGACGATGGGACCCGCACCTTTTACTTCGGAGGCCTCCACATAGGTGAGCCCGAAATAGAGTGTTTGTTTCGGGCATCACTTTTACTCATATGGAAAACTTTGGCTTTTCCAATACAAATCGGTAGACTCCAAGCCTTAGACCCATCGAAAATATTGCAAAATTCTCTTTGTAGGGTAGAAAATCATCAGGAGACCTGATTGTTTATAAATCTTAATATCATCGGCAAACATCTAACAACATTATTCTACATCTCGTTACTCTTTTTTTTTTTCATTTTCACCGTAACGTATAAGTAAGTTTACCTGATTATCTGATAGTACTTCCTCATTCCACCCTTTCATTTTCGCTATTTTCGTCAATTGCCGTCGATTATTCTCGGTATTCGTTCTGAATTATTGCTCAGACCCCTTTTCCAGACTCCTTCGAATGATTCACTGTTGGGCGTGAACGAGGGAGAGGAGCATTGTTTCATGGCAACGTGCCAAATATCTACCTCGTCACTTACATTGACTGGCTAATTACTATTATATTTATTCATACAATGGCTCTACTACCAGTAAGCAGCTTCCCCGGTTGCGTGTTCATCGAGGCTCGAATGCTTGGCCAACCGGCTGCCATCGTGTCACAAATCGGCCTTTCTATTGATGCGCCAGAATGCAGTGTGGCCGTATTCTGTGAGTAAAAATTCATTTACTTAGTTATTTTTGATCATCTATTTTAACTTCTTCATTATGCTTTTTATGCGCTTCATGGAATCGTTTTTTGTCTGTTAGTGCTTCACCTTCTCTTATCTTCTTTTCCTACCACTTTTATTATTTTTTATTTATTGGTAATATGAACTGGCTACATGTGTTTCAAAGAATTTCGCTCAGCTCACGGAAATTTCTATGACTCCACGTTCGCACAAAAGTAAACCATCTAGCAGAGCGATGGTTATCTATCGACCGTAGTAGTTGTCCAAAAAAAATTGTTTCATCTTAGTTATCCATTCAAGTGCGTCCTTCATACTGACCGACAACCGAAGTCGTGGCGCATTCTGGAAGAATCGATTACGCAATTCTTTGTTCCTTTATGATTTTTTTGTTACTTATTAGGACTATACCAACAGTCGTGCCATCAGACGAGGGTATAAGTAAAAGTTAGTAAATTAGTCGCCAAATAAATAAAAAAAATTAATTTGTATTTTTTATTATCGTAGAAGATAGTGGCAGATGCGGAATGGCTGAGTTGCTCAAGCTTTCACCTAAACAATTCAAGGCCTATTTATCTGGGGAAATAGGTTTTTACGGCTCTAGTAAAGCAAAATCCAATTATAAAAGTGGATTATTGATATTTCTTAAGTAGGCATTTTGAAGCTTTTGCGATTGAAGATGAGATTTGACTGCGAGAACCTAATCTCATCGAGTGTTAGAAGGCCTGAGAGTAGAAATGACTTATACATATTTTCTGTATAAGAAGATTAGATTGGGGTAAGCTCCAGAAGTTTTTGAGAAAATTAAAATCTCTTTTCGCTAATCCCCACTTTCTAGAATTTTTGCATCTACTGACGTGAGTTTTTCTTCAGAATGAATTCACAGGCTATGCACTTGGTTATTTTCTTTTGTTTGGTGCCTCTGTCGTCTAGGATAAACCTCCCTAGAGGATTAGATTAGTCTCGTGAACGTGAGCCGTTTCAGAACAATCCCGATGGAATTATGCCGTTGACACATTCGTGGCCGGAAATAGACTATCCCATGTTTTCAAAGGAATCCCTATTCTGAAAGAGTTTGCCCCTCAACACGCCACCTTAGCCTTACTCAAGTTTGACGCTCGGAAATGGCGAGGCCTCTTGTCGGGACATTTCCATTACTGGAACGATTCTTGAGTAGTGCCTCGTTCACTCAACAGCGAACGGTAATTGCTATGGAAAAAAGGAGTGGACCAGGGACCGAAGATTTCCAGCCACTTCAACCTGTTTCTGGAGAAAAAGCCGGTGTATTCGAGTTCTCATTTGTTTGGAAGATTTATGTTCTATGGGTTATCTCCACTATTTATCCAGATTACTATTATACTTAGGGGGATGTAAAGTTGCAAAAATGAACGTTTGCCATCCTGTAAGGATTAGTTATGTGATCGATTATCGATCGGATTCTTAGAGAAGTTTGGCCCATCACAAAGTTTTCGAGCCACGCGGTGTTCGTGTTCCGATTTTTGCCCTTGAAGTGAAGTCTACGTTAGTCCAGCCACCCTGAAAGCCTGAAAGCTTCGGTTCATGAGAGCAGTATGGTGGTTTCAAATTCAGGAAAAGAATATTGGAGGGCTCGAGGCTAGCACCTCCGTGTTCACCAGGTGGCATAAGTCCTAGAACCCATGCTTTACTATATTATTCTTCTATGAAGCTACTCTGCATACTACCGTACTCCTTCCTTTTCTGCTTTTATTCTTTTCCGACTTTCTCTCTCCTCTCTTTTGTGACGGTTACATTTATTTACAAGTTTTGTCCGTTGGAGCCCTAATTATGCGTTGCCATTCTTTTAACTCTTTTTTACACAATGAAGATGATTTTTTTGGAATCATTGGTCGAGGAGCCATAGAGTAAGTAAACAGACATAAATAACTAGGTAATTAATTGATTAGATAAACAACCAAAAGTTTTTGCAGTGGTTTTCTCCTTTGCTCTTCCTCAGTGACATTTCTGAGCCTCAGTGTCTCTGGCAAGATATTCTTCACAGAAGACTTCTTTAAAGGCATAGAGATGCCATCTGTCATTCACTCTCGTCTTCTTTTAAGCCCTTCAGAAGCAGTCACAAACTCTCATATGAAGGGTATCAATCCGTATTTCGTTTACAAATCACATCGAAAAAGTCTCACTAGCCTGTGAAGTAATCGTCCTGGAAAAGAAGGAAACTTCCGACAGCCATTTATCATGTCAGGGGTCCTACAGCTAGTAGCTCGATGCATAGAACGTGCTATAAAAAAGCCATGGCCACAGCTTGGAAATGTGAGGGGAACCATCTTTCCGAGCTCCTCTTCAGCTTGGGGGGTGGGGGTCGTAATATCCAACTGTTAATGACCTTAGAGGTTTTCCTTGAAGCCAGGGTATATAAGCCATTAAGAAGGCAAAGGCAGGAGGGATCTCGGTAGTGTAAGAGATAAATGCCAGGTGCCTGGAAGTGTTCCAATCCCGTCCGAGGCGGAACTTTTATCCACAACTCGTCAACCTTATGGCCTCGAAAGTGTTAGCCTTCCAAGGTTAGAGAAGAAGCTGTGTACGACGGGTGACTAAATTCCCTCTCCCTCTACTCCAGCGAAAAACCAATTTGAAATTGAGGGCTGTTCTTGACTAAGACCTAGTTATGGGCATGGGCAGTGTTTGGAAGAAACTGAGACATGGCGCCTTCCTGAGGAAAAATGATGGAGGAATATATGCAAAACTGAATTCTTGACTTATTTTTCTACGTGTGAAGAGCTCAAGACCCTTCAACCACCTATCCTGGGTTCTCACGGTAGTCTTACCTGTCCCTAGAAGGCACTGCATCCTTGTAAAGGCAACAGTTTGGGGACCGTAGGGTAGAAATTGGAGCTCGAAGTCTGGTAGCATTGTGGAACATCCAAATCGTCCTGCGGTCAGCAGCAGAAGATGGATATAGGTGCGCCCTCATAGGGGAAGAGCCTCTCTAGAAGTACCTAAGTTCTTTACTTCCTCAGCAACACATTTCTAGGAAGGAACGCTCGACGTCGAAGGAACTCAGTCATGCAAATAGCTTTCAAGCTTGGCATCGATTAGAAGAGCATAGTGCAGGGAAGGAAGATGTGGGGCGCCGATGTGTTTTCGGCAACGCCGTTGTTGTGTCGTTCACCGAACGACGTCCCTCAGCCGGGAAGGGACGTCTCTGCAATCTGCGCGACACAATTTCGTCATTGGCTTGTTCCTGGTTTTCTTGGCATAGTGCCTTGTTGATGGTTGTGAGGCAGTTTAGCAGAACCGCCCTTCAAAACCCCTAGAAACTCGACCGTATCAACTCTCCCTTTGCTAACGGCTGTTCATCAAATTCCAGCGTCGGGCACGTTCCGATTCATTTCCTCTGCAGTTCAGTATGTCATCGTCGGTATAGCGAAGTGAAATACCCCCGCGCCCCCATAAGCAATCAAAGCCAACGAGTCAGCTGTACTTCTGAGACCCTACTCTTCAAAGGCTTATATTTCTTCTCTGTTTAATCTTCTTACTTTCAAGCGGATTCAGACTTCCCAAGCCTCAACTGTTAGGCGAGCGAATGTTTTGGACGGGGTTGTTGCATGTTCTTAGGACTTCGTGGTACGTAGGCAGTTTGGCTTCCACCTGACACTATTTTCCTTGGAGGATCCGCTAGATTACTGTGGGTAGAGAAGAAATGCTTAAATCAATCGCTGGACATTCTTGCAGCTCCTGTTTTTCGGGAATTTTTTTTTACAAGTTATCAGTTGGAGAAAATGGTACTTTATTGAATTCAGTTGTAACTTTGTGTCATTTTTCATGCTTCTTAGTTTTTACATCAAGCAACAGTGGGTCCCTGAACGATTTTGGCGCTGTGAACTGAATATTTATGATTACAGGTGATTTTGAATACTGAATACTTGATATTGCTTCTTTCGACAAATTTTTACCGTAATCCTTTGCTGGTCCACGAGTTAGAAATTCTAACAAGGGTTCGGAGTCGTTGATCGATCTCCCACAGCGTAAATCCCAGTCCAGAAGTTTTTTAGGCCGGACTTCCCTAAGCGACGAATTACTTGTTTTACTGGGTTCTTAGCCAGACAACTCTACTTTTATCTGAATGAATAGGGTTGAGAAGATCCCTCACATTTCCGAGAGCGAGGCCAAATAGCAAGGTTTCGAGTTGCGGCAGGCAGAAAATTTTGTTCTCATTCCCAGAAGCAATTTGAAGCTTATGTGGTCTGTGATCCTCTTTACACTCTCTAATCTCGTCTCACAGCTTCTTTATAGATTTTAAGTTATTTCAAGCCAGTTTAAGATGCTCCACCCTTTGAGCTCAAGGAATACGTTTCAGCAAACTTTCAATCTTGTTTTGGCAACACTTCAGCTCTCATCACTTCAAACCATTCACAAATATTAGGGTGTGCAAAAAAAATCTGCCGGAAAAAAGCGAAACAGAAGGTTTCTTCCGGAATTTTCTGGAGTTTCATGAAATTTCTTCTTAAGGGCACTATTTCACGCATACGTAAGCATGTCCGATACCTATTCCCTGCTAACTTAACCTCATAATTTCACGTACTTCTTTATGAACTGGAATCCGGCTACTCCACTGCTAAAACCACTGAGATCTGTGCCAACAATTTGATCCTGAAGCCTTTTCTTTCTGATCCTCTGTACACCTCTGCTTCACTGCCTGAAATAGAAAGGTCGAAAATGAACCCCTGTCTGGTCAACCGATTGCTACTTCATAAAATCTCCTGATATGTTATGCACAAACAAGTGAGTAGTGTCCTTTCACAGTAATTCTATGAAAGCTTCCAGAAAGTTATGAGAAAGTTGGACCGATGTGGAATTTTATGCCAATACAAGTACCTTCCGCACAACCTAATATCGTTAACCAGTCATATAGTCATATAAACAATATTTTCAGTAATTATACAAAATACTAAGGTTTTAATGCAGTTCGAGCTGATACTTAACACACTCTAATACATTTTGAAAAGCACGAATTGAAAAGAGAAGAGAATACGAAGAAGGCTGACAATCAA